AGGCCCACGGCGGTTTCGAACACGGCAGGCCGCAGCTCAGAGCCGCGCGAGCCGCATGTTAATAAATGTTTGTCACCTAACAAATCTTCGTGTTTAAATGATCGTGTTTTTAATCAGTCTATGGCTGACGTTCTTAAAACAAAGAAGGTAAAAACGCGGCCTGTGGAAATTAAAGATGATGACTGGCAAAAGGTTACCTATAAAAAGCAAACTCGTAACCGATTTGTCAGCAATCAGGGGAAAGCAGTTGGTGTAATGAACTCCAAATTTAAAGCCGCGGCGACTAAGAAAATTCCATTGTTTATCTCAAATGTTAGTAAAGAAACCACGGAACAGGACATAGTTGAATATATACGATGCAAAACGCAAACAGATGTTACTTTAACGAAGATTATATCTAGATTAAAGAGAGACTATGATTCATATTTTTTCAGTGTAGACAGTTTTAAGGTAGCGTTATTTTTGAATGATGAAATATGGCCCGAAGGGATATGTTTTAGGAAATATGTAGTGTTTAATAAGAGAGACAATGCAGCGACTAATAACGGGGTTTAATAATTTATTTTATTATGGATAGTACAAATAAGTCTACAAATATAACTACGTTTGCATCTTTTAATTGTAAAAGCTTTAAGAGGTCGATCGACCTTGTAAGGAACCTTTGTAAGACCTCTGATGTGGTGGCACTTCAGGAGACTTGGCTCCTGCCTCACGATCTGCCACTTGTCGGAACGGTCAGTGTAAATTTCGAGTATACCTGTAAGTCTGCCGTTGATACATCTCTAGGTATTCGTAAAGGGCGGCCGTTTGGCGGTGTAGCATTGTTATGGAGAAAAGGCATTTTCGATACAGTTTCCGTGCTGAATTGTACCAGCGATAGATTAACAGCAATCAAGGTTACCATTGCGAACAAAATGTTAATCATATTCTCTATATATATGCCGTATGACGACCAATCTGTTGACAGTAGCACAGAGTTTTTGAGTTGTTTAGGGGCAATAGACGCCATCATAGAGAACAATGACGTTCAAGACATATTTATGTTGGGGGATTTTAACGCGCATCCTTGTAAGAGGTTCTGGGTGAAATTACAGCAATACTGTGACGATAGGTGTTGGAAATGTGCAGACACTGAATTTTTAGGGATAGATTCTGGCACTATAACATTTATAAGTGAAATTGATGGTAGTAGGGGATGGTTGGACCACTGTGTTGTTACCCAGTCAGCCTTCAGCTCAGTGTTGAGTGTACATGTCCAAAATGACGTCCAGTGGTCTGATCATTTTCCGCTTGTAATACAGTGTAGGCTAGGAGCCATAGTACCGAAAGTGATACTTGATGATAAGCCACCTAATAAGGTTGTATGGCATACAAGAACTAATGCTCAAATTGCACAATATCATGACGTTTGTAATAGTGTACTAAAAGAATTACATTTTCCTGAAACTTTTATGCAGTGCGCCGATAAATTTTGTAACAACAACAGTCACTTACTTGCCTTAGATAATCTGTACGAGTTAATAATAAGTACCCTAAGCGATGCTGCAGCTAAATCACACAACATTATGGTACATCGTAGGAAGAGTCCCGTCATTGGGTGGAATAAGTACGTGCGGGAAGCTTATGAGGACGCCCGGCTGAAATTCCAAAATTGGCTACTGCTTAACAAACCAGTCAACGGAAAAACGTGGGAGGACATGCGTGACAGTAGAAAAGTTTTTAAAAGTAGACTTAGATGGTGTCAGGGGCACCAAGACCAGATTAAAATGGATATTGTCGCCTCGCATCGTGAGTCTAAAAACTTTGGTCAGTTTTGGAGAGCAACAAATAAGCTAAATATCAGACCGGGTCGCCCAGTGAATGTGGGCAATTGTACTGAACCCAAGGAGATCGCAAACCTATTTAAAAATCACTTCAAGGTAACGTCAACGCGGGGTGAGGTGGACCGGATGATCGGTGCTGAGTCGTCACTGACTGGTGATATGCCCTTGCGTTTTTCAGCTAAGCAAGTCGCGACAGTCATAAAGAGTATGACTAGAGGTAAGTCACCGGGCCATGATGGGCTCAGCATCGAGCATCTGAAATTCGCAGGGGTGCACCTTCCCAGAGTGTTGTCGATGTTTTATTCTTTATGTATATCTCACTCTTATCTTCCAGTGGAAATGATGAGAACGGTAGTGGTTCCGTTGGTAAAGAATAAAACAGGCGATATAACAGACGTGTCCAACTATAGACCGATCTCTTTGGCAACGGTGATAGCCAAGGTCTTGGATAGTCTGCTGGACACAAGTTTGGATAGATTTATCAACCTACACGATGCTCAATTTGGGTTTCGGCCCAAATTATCTACTGAGAGCGCCATCTTGTGTCTGAAGCAGACTGTTCAATATTATTCATGCAGGAAGACACCGGTATACGCCTGCTTTCTAGACCTTTCCAAGGCATTTGACCTGGTGGACTATGACCTTTTATGGAGAAAGCTAGAAGGAACGGGAGTACCGAAAGAAATCGTGGCTATATTGAGGTATTGGTACCTCAACCAAGACAATAATGTCAAGTGGGGAGAGACATTGTCTGACACGTACAGGTTGAAATGCGGTGTGAGGCAGGGGGGTATTACATCTCCGAAGCTTTTCAACTTGTACGTTAACGAGTTAATCGTGGGGCTCAGCGGTAAACCAGTCGGGTGCTCCATAGACGGCGTCACTGTGAATAATTTGAGTTACGCAGACGACATGGTGCTGCTGGGCCCCACGGCGGGCTCTGTCAGACAACTGCTTGATGTATGTGTGAAGTACTGTGTTGATCATGGATTGGCTTACAATGCTGTGAAAAGCGAGTTCATGATCTTTGAGGCCCAAGGAAAACGTGTCACTTACGAACCAGTCATAACACTTAATGGCACACCTCTTAAACGAGTGAAACTTTTTAAATACTTAGGACATTTCATTTCCGAGGACCTCAAAGATCATGCAGATATTGAGCGTGAACGTAGAGCGTTAGCCGCGAGGACTAATATGCTGGCCCACAGGTTTGCACGTTGTAGTAACGAGGCCAAGATCACGCTGTTTAAAGCATATTGCCAAACGTTCTACACGTGTGCCCTGTGGACCAAATATTCTAAAAGAGTGCTGGCTTCGCTTAGGGTTCAGTATAATAATGGGTTCAGAATGCTGTTGGGGCTGCCGAGATATTGCAGTGCGTCTGGCATGTTCGCGGAAGCGCGAACAGATGACTTCTTCGCCATTATGAGGAAAAAAACAGCTTCTCTGTTGCATAGATCGCGTAGCAGCTCGAACAGCATTCTGAATATGTTCTGGACTAGACCAGCGGAGCCCATCCTTGGGCATTTTGTAAAAAGGCTTGTGTTCCAGAACACCTAGTCTTAAAATTAATTTGTTCAATCGTGTATATTTTATACTAACATAGTAAATAAGTTTTTATTATTGTAATTACTAACAATTGGACCTTAGTTGTCTTAATAAAGAAGATTTATTATTATTTATTATTATTATTATTCCTCATCACTGCTGTACCTATCCGTATCGGAATTATCCCCGGGTTTTGGTCCATTTTCTGATGTTGTAGGCTGCTGACTCGTCCCGCTAGGACCGGCACTGTCATAGCGCACCATCTGTGGAGGGCGTTTTACGTTCTTTATAGCTACTTTTGTTTTTCTCTTATTGAGTTGAACAGGTACAATATTCCTACTGCTTTTTCCAATAACTTTAGCCTTTTCGTACCTAGGCAGGTCCTTAGCTTTTCGTGTTCTGGTGTTTTTCATATATACCTCATCACCTACGTTGATCTGTGGGGGTTCTTCTCCACCTTTCTTTTCTGTAACCCTAACTTTATCGTCCTTTATCTTATCGCTAATATACTCATACAGGATTTTTAGTCGTTTCCTATGATCCTGTAGGAGTTTTTGGTAAAAGTTACGGTCTCTGTCGATGTCAAAAACGTTACCTATATCGCTGTGACCGAAGGCCACTTCAAATGGTGTAAAATTTGTAGAGCTGTGTATGCTGTTGTTGTAACCCATTATCACGTAAGTCATGACGGATGCTGCATCATACTTCGCCAAACGATACATTTCATTGATGGTAGAATGATCTCTCTGATCTTGTTCTTCACCGGTAAGATTTACTACCCTCTCCGTGCATTCTATTAAGTTCTGAGTTCCTTTCTTATACAATGTAGTTACAACTTTACTAAAAATCGTTCTAAAAATTTGTTCTTCAAAGTAAATGAAGTATTTATGTTTGTAATCTAAATATTCTTTTAAAAATTTTTTTACTAATTCTTCATTGTTAGAAGTTGGTAAGTGTACCTCAATAATTCTTTGTTTCGAGTTTGAGATATCTTTTACACAAATATCGTTTTTAAACCAAACATGTACAAGTATTTGTCTTGGTTTGTTATCGATTGCTTCGTTTAAAATAGGTATGCCTTCATGCTCCCTGTTAGATATAGAATGTGCCGTTGCACCATCATCCGAGTCGGATATTTCTACGGTTTCTATTTCTGGCTCTATGCTACTACTATCCGGTATGTATATTTCTTGTCTACGTTGTTTTATTTCCTTTTCAATTTCTTTCACAATCTCTTCCACACGTTCGAAACGGGACTTTCCCAAATGGGCACTCACCCGCCTGGAGCTCGCAGAGGAAGCAGCCATGGTTCAGGGAAGACTTGACCGCCGTCTGCGAGCGGGCCATGCCCAGGGTTAAAGGGACCCCGGGCAAAAAGAGTGTGTACTGGTGGACCGCGGAGATTGGGACCTCCGCACCGCCAGTACCACGGCCCGGCGGGCCTACGGCCGATGCCACCGCAGGCGCTACACCCAAAGTGAGGAGAGAAGGCTCCACAGCGCCCTTCAGGGCGCGAGGTAGGCCCTGAAGGTCGCAATAGGACGGGCCAAGGACTCTGCGAAAGAGGAGTTCTTGACCACCCTGGACGCGGACCCATGGGGGAGGCCGTACAAAGTTGTGCGCAACAAAATGTACGGTGCATCTCCCATGGAGTCACTGGAGCTGGATCTCCTCAACCGGCAAAAATCGGTGGTGGAGGGCCTTTTCCCCGAACCGCAACGCTTCACCCCGCCGGCCCTGGTGCCCCCCCAGAGCAGACGGGGGGCAGACTGAGGAACCCCCCAGAAGGCTCCCGGCCCGGACGGGGGACGAGTCCTTCGCATTGCCCTGAAGCATCTCGGGACCCGCCTAAAGCATCTCATGGATGACTGCTTGAGGACGGGGTTGTTCCCGAGATGCTGGAAGGAGGGAAGGCTCATCCTGGTGCCCAAGCCGGGCCGACCTGCGGACTCCCCCTCGGGGTTCAGGCCCCTCGTCCTGCTGGACGAGGTAGCGAAGATCCTGGAGCGAATCATCGCCTCCAGGATCAACGAACACCTGAGGGGGACAGGCCCCGATGTGTCGCAGCGGCAGTACGGGTTCAGGGCTGGACTCTCCACCCTGGACGCCCTGGATTCGCTGCGACACATCGTGGAGGAGAGTAACGGCGAGGGGGAAGGCGTGGTAGCTGTGTCGTTGGACATAGCCAACGCCTTCGGCACTCTCCCCTTCGCCGTTATCGCCGGAGGCGCTGAGGTACCATAATATCCCCAGGTACCTCAGCCGTCTGGTGGAGCACTACCTGGAGGACAGGGTGGTGCTCTACCAGACGAAGGAAGGGAGGCGCGCCGAGCGCCCAATGAGGGCGGAGTACCCCAGGGGTCCGTATTAGGACCACTACTGTGGAACCTGGGGTACGATTGGGTGCTGAGGGGCGCGCTGCTCCCCCGGACGGCGGTCATCGCGTACGCCGATGACACGCTGGTGGCCGTCCGAGGGACCACCTTCCAGGAGGCGGCCCGAAGAGCCTCAGTAGCGGCGGACATGGTGGTCCGCCGAATACAACTGCTGGGGCTCGAGGTCGCCGTGCCGACGGATGTGGCCGTCTTCGGCGTGAGGGGTAGAGGTTGGGCGGTGCCGGCAGGCGCCCACGTCTCCATCACAGGAGTATCGGTCCCGGTCAAGTCCCAGATGAAATATCTGGAACTTGTCCTGGACCGGCGATGGAACTTCAGGGAGCATTTCCGGCAACTTGCTCCCCGATTAGTGGGCGCCGCATCGGCGTTGGGCAGGCTCCTGCCCAACCTCGGAAGGCCGGAAGCTCCATGCAGAAGGCTATACGCCGGGGTGACCCGGAGTATGGCCTTATACGGGGCTCCCATCTGGATCTCCCAGAGGGTGGTCGCCCTGCGAATGTGCAGGGCGTACATGACATGATGGTGACTTGCGCTGCCGCGTGCGTCCTCGCCGGTACTCCGCCGTGGGACCTCGAAGCCGAGGTCCTGGCGGAGGTCCGCACCTACCGGCGGGGAATGAGGGACCGAGGCGAGCGACCCGCTCCCCAAGAGGTGGAGCGGGAACGCCGCCTCGCGGCGCAGCGCATGCGGGACCGGTGGAAAGAGGGCTTGGCGGATCCCCCCTATGGCGCTCGTACCATAGAGGCGATCCGCCCTGTCCTCGTAAAGTGGGTAAACCGGTCCCACGGGCCACTGTCGTACCACCTTGTGCAGGTGCTGACCGGACACGGCTGCTTCGGTCACTACCTGCACAAGGTGGTACGACAAGTCAAGGTGGCGAGGAGGGAACCGTCCCCGTCGTGTCACGAGTGCGGCGCTGCGGATGACACCGCGCAGCACACCCTAGAGGTGTGTAGCCGGTGGGATGAGCAGCGCCGCACTCTAACGGGGACTGTAGGGCAGGACGCTCGATAGCGAGGAGTCCTGGGAGGCGGTGGCCTCCTTTTGCGCAGAGGTTATGTCGCAAAAGGAGGCCCCGGAGCTGTTGCTGTGCTGTGCCGTGCCGTGCCGTGCCGTGCCGTGCCGTGTCGTGCCGTGTCGTGCCGTGTCGTGCCGTGCCGTGCCGTGCCGTGCCGTGCTGTAGCGTCTGGCACCGTTTGCTAGACTGCTAAGTGTTCGATCTTTGTATTAATAATTATGAAAAAGTTATGGAGTAAATTCACAAAAATAATTGAATATCTATTCAATCCAATAAAATTTAAAATAAACTAGCGACAGCTCTAGCCTGAGCTGGTAGCTGTAAAGTTACCTAATTAGGTGACAAATTCTTTCATAGATTTCAGATTAAAGATATTGTTTGCCGAACACATAAAAAAGTTCGGATGATCCGCTGGTTTGTTCCGTATCTTAGTTGGCATAGCGTGTGGCACGGTTTGCTAGAAGACGTCGGTTCAAATACGGCTGGATTCTAGGATTTTTTTCTAAGTGATCGATATCTGTATTAATATTTATAATAGAAAGTGGTGTATAAAAATTTTAACGTTAGAGCTCTTTTAAACCTGAAGGTATTAGAATTAAAATTGTATTGTCTAGCAATGTACTGGACATTGCATTGGACATTGGAATCCACCAAATCGAATAACTCTCCAATTTGCCGGCTTATATGCCGAACTCATAAAACATATGTTAATAATTCAATTCGATCAATTTAACTAAATCGACGTCGACTCAATTAGGTCGCCATAGAGGTACAGGTGTAAATGAGTTTAGAGATGTTAATCTAAACCAATGAGCCTGCTGTGCTCCAACACTGTTTAGGCAGATTTTTCACTCGTGCCCAAAAATCTATACGAGGGCACATCTCACCAAAGCCACAGATGTGCAATCTTGGTACCATCAATACTTAAAGTTACTATAGTGTTAAAATAAAAGAAGCATTGACACCACAAGAAAAAGATAATTAAATAGAGAACGTCTTAATTTATTTCGATCGTTAAACGTTTTTCAAATACGTAAGTAAAGCCCGCACGCACTTCAATGGGTTACAAGTACGAAATAAAATATCGTGAAGTATCTCATTTATCCCCTGGAGATAAACCAAACAAAGCATAAAATACACAGCTCGATGCCCTTCATCTAAACGAAAGGACAAGGATCCTCAAAGTGTCGTAAAACCAAATGTGTACCGGGTGCTATTTTAAGATTTATGCTATCCCCAAAACTTTGTATGGTTAAGTCGATATCCTGTAAAATACTAGCCGCGATCATTGATAATATGTATTTTCAGACTTTCGACTAGCGGATAATTATTTACAACGACTTGCCCTTACTTATGATCCACATTTATAGAGTGTGTCTAAACATAATCTCATTAATCGTAATTCGTTTACTAGAACCAGAAAAAATACAGATGATAAAATTTTCGTGAAATGTAAGAATATTTCTCCTGTTGGTATAAAACGTTAAGATTTGTGGCTATCATTATTTTAAATTGGCGAGATCACGACAAAAAAAATTGTCAATAACGTATACAAAGTATATAATGATATAGGCACACAAAGAAATTATGCAATAAAAGTGATTATAACAAACATACACAAGAAAAATCGACATGGGAAAGTGTGTATGCTTTTATATTCAGCGTATCCTGTCTTTAATAACGTCTTAAGTCAAAAGAAAACACCGGATAAAATACAAATTATGCCCGGACCTTATATAAGTCATAAACCCTTTACAACTTATAAGTTATATATATATATATATATATATATTATAAGTGCCTTATACAACTTATAAGTTGTCTGTCGGAAAAGTAGTTAAGGTTTTAACAGAGAGCCGATTAGAGCGCAGAGACAGCTTACACTTAAGCTCCGAAGGAGCTTCGTGGAAAATAAATTAGAAATTTCTTTTTTATTTGCCTCATGGGGTTTGTTAAAAAAAACTGTAAGAAACCCAGTATCCTATTGCGCGGTTACAGTAAAAATGATACGAATGGCTGTTCATAACTTTTAGTTTGATTAAATACCGGTTAGTTTGATTGAACAAATTAAAGATATCACCACTACAGGCAATTCTGTCTATTTAACCATAATGCTCAAAAACATTAAGGAGTAGTTTTTAATTACTTTTAGGTTCAATCTCAAGTGAACCTTATATATTTGTGTTATACAAGCCTCGATTACATCAGAACCACTGTCGCCAAAAATTCGCACATTCATAATCATTTGAAACACTATGAAATCTTGATTACGATTGGTTGTAGTTTCCTATTTAAAAAGAACTTACAAATTCTGGACTGTTAATATAATTTAAACTGAACCCTGTTGACATATCGTCGCAACCCAGGAGTTTAACACGCGGAGTACGTCAGGGCTACATAATAGGACCGCTCCTGTTCATTATTTACACCGCCACTACGTGTAGTCTCTTATAGTAAATGCCATTGTTATGCAGATAATTTGTAGCTTTACATTCGTGTGGATCCAAGTAATGTACTTCCGGCTTTGGGTGACTTGAATCACCACCTGCACACTATTTACCAATGATCCTGTGATAATGCTCTAGTCCTTAATCCATGTAAATCTAAATATATGTGTTGGGTATTGATCCTCAAATGAATAAGGTTGTTACCACAAATCCGGATGTATTAATCTGAGGACAGGATGTTCACCGCGTGGGGGAAGCTAAGAGTCTTGGAATAATTATAGACAATTATTTGCGCTTCGAGAATCACGTGCTGGGCCTTATTCGTAGCTGTTTCTATCGCCTTAAGGTTTTGTATGGAATCCCTGATTTGCTTAGTGAGAAAGCACAGTTTACTGTTTGTGAGTCGTTTTATCTAAATTAAATTATGGCGACATTATTTATTGGCCTCGTCTGCTTGCAAAGACTCAGCGATTATTGCAGCGTGTGCAAAATGCTTCCTGCAGATTTTGCTTCAAGGTATCCTCCACGAAGTCACATATCAACCATGCTAAATGATACGTCAATACTCAGCATGGACCCTCGAAGAAAGTTTCACCTTTCCTGTCTATTGTTTAATATCATGAAATTTAAAAGTCCTGAGTATCTTGTATAATAACTTAGAATTTGCAAACTCTGCACATTCTAGCTAACTACTAAGGCTATTCTGGCAGGTTATATACACCGCACTTTTGAGGGTAGCTTCCACTGTCAGGCTACAAAGAGCTGGAATAATATTTCTCCGCCAACAAGATCTTTTGACTGCCTTCGTGGCCGCACGGTTATCATGCCACGCAGAGGTCCCAGGTTCGATTTCCGGTTCGGAAGAAATATTTGCATGACCTACATTTATTTCTCTCGTGAGTTGCGTTGTAATTTGCGATTGTCTATGTGTGTGTGCATGGCACCCGCGACACAAGGTTTTCCTAGTGCGTTATTAGATCTGTGCATACTAAGTTTACCTTTAGGAAACATATTGAAGAGGCTATTTTACGCAAACAAAAATTTGGTATTCCGAAGCACTTTGAGTCTATGGTATTGCTACCTTCCAACAAAAATTTATTATCTAATCTGACACTAACACTAATTATCATGTTAATTATTCTATTATTAGTACTATGTGGACACAAACTAACAGTACTAACCATAAAATTAAATATGATTCTATAAACATTTAATTCTTTTAATTATTAAGCACCCACCCTATTACACACTCACTGCCGCGCTGCGGTTTCGCCGTTTTCTGCTATTCGTGGGCGTAGCAGAATATCAGTATTATGTTGCTCTAATTGAGCAGCAATTACGCTGAGCTACGGCCGTTTTATCACCACAGCGCACACATCAATGCGTTGCGAGCATTTTTTGTACAGCCTTGCATATTTCTCTTTTTTCGTTTATTTTTTATTTTTGTTTATATGTATGGCATGTGTGTGTTGTATTGTAATAATTTTTTTTTTACAAAAAATTTTATAAAAAACATTATGAGAGATGGTTTATACGATATGATAGATAGACAAATTTATTTATTTATCTATCATATCATTGAAAATTCCATACCTATTATTGCAAGTCACGACATTTTGATTTTATATTGAAATTTCAACCAATGTTATGCCATCCACTAGTCAATATCTGAACAACGGCGAAATCGAGATGTTTACTTAGTTCTCCAAAAAAACAAGTGACCACATTACAGCGTTATATATATAGCGCTATACAAATTTAACGACAAACAGGAAATTGAATATTTATTAAAATAAAATAAGCTTAACGATGAAACTGCCTCCGTGGCCGAACGGTTACCATGCCGGACTGCCACACAGAGGTCCCAAATTCGATTCCTGGGCCGGGAGAAAGAGTTGTATGGCCTATAATTATTTCTCTCGTGAGTTTAGGTGTAATTTGTGGTTGTCTATGTGTGTGTCCAAGGCACCCGCGACACAGGGTTTCCCTAGTGCGGGACTATGTTGAGAGTGTGCGTTATTTATTTAAAAAAAACACTGCCATGGATAATATTACAAGTGCGACTATCATTTTTGCATAGCAAAGTAGTAGATAAGGCATTTTCAATATTTACAAAGCAAAAATGGCGGACTGAGCTCAAGTCTGTAGAACTCCGCATACTGTTGGCTAACGTACCACGCGGACTAAGTACTTCTACTTTATTTATTGTTCTGTGGTTAGTTTGACAGCGAAAATCATCATTGTTAAAGTTTGGGTTTTGTTATGAACTGTCTACCTGTAATTTGGACCTATCATAATGACGACGTGCGTGTTCAAAACTATTATATTATAGTACCGAGCTCTTAGGTTTTGGCGATTGCCACACATTAGTATAGTAAGTCAAATTCCTTCAATTAGGTGAGATTGTAGTCATCCGCGTGCCAAACCAAGAAAAAATTGTTAACAAAGTAGCGTCAAGAATAAGGCAATTAATTCATTTCAATTCAGTACAATTCTTTATTGCATTTACCATAATATAACATAGGGTGAGAATGCTTACAGCTAAAGTTAACAGCACATTATGCACCCTGTAGGGCACTGCAAATTATAGAAAGAGGGAGAGGAGGATTTACTCTTAACAATATTTTGAAGTTTAGGATGTTGCCTTTTCTAATCTTTACATAAGTTCATATTTCTAAAATTCCAAATTAAAGAAAGCATATAATTGATTAAGATTGAACATATCAGAAAATAGGACCATGTAGCAATTATTATCTTTTTATTTATTAATTATTATTTATTTAGATAATAAGTAAAATATGATTTTGTCATCACTTGAATAGTATTTATTTTTTGTATTCATTTATTGGTAATATAAATCATTGTCATTTTATTTATATATTTGTGTTAACTGTACTTTCAGTAGTTTTTGGTCAATTATATACATTGTACAATTGTTTTTTTACTTTGTTTGTAGTTGTAGTTTAAGCTTAGGCTTATGCAAATTAAGTATGTTTATTTGTATTTCCTGGAAAACGTGGTAGTTTTCGTTTACATTTTTAGTTTGGGACAACGTTTTGCTCCTATCTATTTTGTAAAGACTAATTTTAAAGGAATCAATATTTTTGTTATTGTGCAGTATTTTACATAAATATCGTAAATGAGTCATTACACGTTGTTTAAATTACAGTTTCAAATTGAAAGCTACTTCTGTTATTCCAGAAATCGTTAAAATATAAGAACATCGTCGCTTAACCAAAAACTCTGTAGCTCAATGTAACTATTCTATTACACCAAGATTGATTTTCGTTTTCTGTGGCAGAGCCCTGAACGTTCGTGCAGACTTTTGACAAGTAAACCATTTTTCATACAATGAAGGGTGAAATCCGGAAAATATACTTTCCGAGAAAAGCACAAAAATGTCCAAGATATTTCTAGAATTTCAATTTTTTTTTATTTTCCAATTGACACAAGAATTTAATTTTGATATAACAGGTTTGATGATGATTTTACCATCTCAGTCAGTCGTAACATAGGGACTTGTCAAGGGCCTGAAATGTTGGTTTGTTTGTAAAAACAAATATACGCGATTTACAACCAAAAAAATAGTTTCATATACACTGAATAACACTTGAAAATCTAAAATTTGAAATCTAAGAACGAGATACAGGAATACTAACCCCTCTAGTATTGACTAGATCGTGCATTGCGCTGGTTTAGCAGCGATGCAATCGCAATGCAGTCGCTAATCGTCTACCTTTACACACGCGCGTGAGTTTAAGCAGCGATGCAAACACGATGTAAATGCGTTACAAACGCGAGCAAACGCGATACAAACTCGATGCAAGCGTGATACAAATGCGACGCAAATGCAATGCACGTTTTAAATTAATGGACTAATTTATTTATTTAATGTATTAACTAAATTCACATTTAAATTTACAATTAATTAAACAAAATAGTGTGCATAAACCTATACAGATATATATATAATTATTCAACATAAGCGAGTGTATCAATGCAGTCGAGCGTTCGCATCGATGCAATGGCCTAAATCGTAAGTGTAGCAATGCAATCGCGCGTTTCACGAACGTTCTAGTAAATTATAGTTCCAGTATAGTTTAGTTCTATTGTACGATAAGGTTGTTTGTTTTTCCTTTGGTTTGGGTTTCTTTCTTTGCTTTTTGTCAGTAGTATAGTTTTCGTAAAGTATAGTTTTAGGACAGTATATTTTTAGTTTAGTATAATTTCAGTGTAGTATAATTTTAGTGTATTAGAGAAAGAGAGTTATTGTATAGTATAGTTTTTGTGTAGTATAGTTTTAGAATAGTATAGTTTTCGTATAGTATAGCTTTAGTGAAGTATAGTGTTTCATTCTCTCCGCTGAATAGAACGCGACTTCAGGCTTTGTCTCGATCAAACTTGGTGTGAGGCAAAGACACACTATCTCCCCCAATTTCTTTACAAGTGTACTAGAAGAGATGATGAAGACGCACAATTGGGATGAAAAAGGTGTTTACGTCAATGGCCGCCGCATGTCGCATTTGCGTTTCGCAGATGACCTGATCCTTATGGCTGGAAACTTCGCTGATCTCCAGACTATGCTCCAAGACCTGCACGAGGCTCCACTAACTTTCGGTGTTGAAATGACAAGACCAAGATGCTGGGTTTTGGGTCCGGAAGGTTGGATATGATCTTATGTCCAGCCTTCCGGACCCAAAACCCAGCATCTTGGTAGGGAACACCCAACTAGATGTAGTTGACGAATACGTTTATCTTGGACACTGTTTAAGTTTTGTCCGAGCTTCCCAAACCAAAGAAATCGCGAAAAGGATTCAGTTTGGATGGGCCGCCTTCAGAAAACTGGAGAATCTAAAATCCCTCAAAGCATCAAAACTTTAGTAGTAGTTGAGCTCCTTGTGGAAGAGTTCGTCCAGGGAAGTACTGCCACCTTACCGGTGAAATCACTGGCACATAGGACTTGTCAACATGTCTCAGGGTGACCGGCGAAGTGGCATTGCCCCTCAGATCTTTGCGATTTAAAGCTCTACGTGACATTGCAACTGTTATGGCAGGCGTGTAGCTTACCATCAGGGGCACGACTTGTTCATCCCGTCACTTGATATTATAAAATAAACCTATTTCTGCCACCGAGATTTTTACTACATATATCATTTCCTTTACATAGTAGTCAAAACATTATAACGATTAAAAACAACTGTGCAATGTATCTTTTTTTCAATTTCTACTGTCGTATATTTGTGAATGTAAAGGAATATATCGTGATTAATGTGAAGACTATATTTAGGTAGGAGCGTGACCAAATAGCCGAACATTCAGCCGAACTATTCGATCTGATTACAACGTACGAAAATTGATACGAAAAATACCACTTATTAAGTTCAGTTGTAATTAATAAAGTTGTATTTAATAATTCTAACAAACTAGTGGAGTAATTTCACAAAAAACAAATGAATATCATGGTATTAACATGTTATAATATTCATAACGGGAATTTAATTATTAAAGCTTTTTAATTTAACCTAATCAAAGATAAGTAGCAAACACATAGAAATGCGTGGGATCTGGTGACTCGGCCTGTGCGTTTAAATTAGCCGCTGTTAGAAGGCGGCCGCGCGACAGTCGTGCTGCAGCCACGGTTAGTGAGGTGTACACGTTAATTTTTCAAATTAACCACGTTATATGAAAATCGAATTGAAGAATTTATAGAGAATGTAAAACAACACCCTGCAATATGAGATTGCAGTTCTGCCAGTTAATCCAATCGACTGGATTTATGGAAAATTTATGTCTAAAATTTATTGACAATTTTGAAACTGAAACTACAACAGAAAAACACATAGCAGGTGGGTCATTTTTAATACCTATATGTGAAGTGCGCACCCCAAGAATTAGGAAAAAGTAATATTTCTTCGTTAGAATCCATCGCATAACTCAGTAGAAAGATTAAAAATCAATAAAAAAAATTAACTACTTGAGCTATCCATAAGAATGAATTTAATGGATCTAATTTTTTTTAGTGCTAATCGACTTCACTTTCATGAAATAGGTAATCATTTCATTGTATGGGACGAGAAAATTCGGAACAGCCAAAGTTGGTTAAATTTCATACAAAAATATATAGTCGTAGTCATTTATTGATAACAAAATAGTTACAAGTCACAAACGTCGCGCTTGACCAAAAAATTGACAATGCCAAAATTGTTTCCACAAAAAAAATAATAATTTTTTTAATATTAGTTTTACGGCATCGGGAAAAAAAAGATTTAATGGTTCCTAAGACAGTTTCCTTGTATTTTCTATGGTATCGGATTTCCCCATACTGTCCCATTTAAAAAAAAACTCTGTATATGATTGTGCCAATTTTGATAAATTAGAGTACCTATGAATATCTTCTGGAGCCACTCTCGCTCTCTAAAAAACTCTGCAGGGACTAAGCCACTTATAAAGTTCTTTGTATAAAAATATCTTCTCCACAATAGAAAGCAAATAAAAATTCCCGAGGACTTTCCCTTGGGAGTGCTTGGAAGTTCACAGTAGCTCGTTGGCGCGGTTACAAAAATATATAATAATGTACACAATTAGTGTAGAAAATAAATATTTATTTTTCTGTGATTATTTTACGAATTCAATCCAAAAACCACTGGCGAGTACAAAACAAAAGATGCAATCAAATAAAAAGCTGAGTTTCAATTTGTTTGCCTTGTCACATGCATGCTGCGCTTTGAATAAATAGTGCGACTCTGCGATATGTGCACAACACTCGTTAACGATGCGGGAGGCTTTTATTAACCGTTTTTGTTTTATTGGCTATGTGTGTAACTAACTTGCAAAACGCGAACATGTTTTTAATATTTGGTGCACGTGTCTGTATTCGTATTAAAGTAACTTTTCTTTTTTTTCATAGCAGCAGAGCTCCAGTGAAAGAGTTCATCCAGAGAAGTATTGCCTTACCTATTTCTGCCGCCAAGCAGTATAATGTGAAATTACAGGCACATAGCACTTGTCAACTTTTGTCTCCAGGTGACGGGCGCAGTGACAGTGCACCTCAGATCTTTGCGATTTAAAACACTAAGTGGCACTACAACTGTCATGGACAGACGTGTCGCTTGCCACCAGGCGTGAGACTTGATCTTGGCTCTAGATATCATAAAAAAATCCCCAATTCAAAGTCTCACCTCAGGCATGGCTTTCCTTTAATAAATTTTCTGTCAATTTGAAAATAATTCTATTTTTCTACTTCCTATATCATCATTCTTCAGTCATTATTTAAACATAATCCCTTTCTAAGATAAAACTACTTTTCAAGCGATCTCGAAGCTTGTTAAAAAACCTCTTTAACCAAAGTAGGTAAAAGAACGCGTCACCTCCAAGCTTTGAGAGAGACAAATGACGTCCGCGTTGACTGATGGCCTTGATGTCGCTCGTAATAAGGAGTTACTACGCTCTGATTGACTTATTACGCCTAACGTTGCGCCACCGTGACCTACTTTACGACATAATATACCTTGAATTTTCTTTTTTGACATTATTTTGTAAGATTGTATATTTTAGTAGCAGTAGATCTCCTAGTGAAACAGCTCGTTCAAGGAAGTACTGCCACCTTACCTATTTCTGCCGCCAAGCAGTAATGTCATACTGACCTAGCAGTAATGTCAGTATGACCTTACAGTAATGTCATAGTGACATTACTGCTTGGTCAGTATGACGGTTTTGAAGGGTAAGGGTGCTGGTGATATTACAGGCACATGGGACTTGTCAACTTACGTCTCAGGGTGACGGGCACAGTGGCAGTGCCCCTCAGATCTTTGCAATTTTAAGCTCTGAATGGCGCTGCAACTGTTATGGACAGGCGTGTAGCTTATTACCAGGCACACGACTTGTTCGTCCAGTCACTTGATATTATAAAAAAATAAAAAATGTATATATTTCTAGAGATGCATTGTCATCACTGGATTATTGAACTTCTGGCTAATCAAAATGTGTTCAATTTGAAAATTATCAATCTAAATGTTTTATGTTTCTATTCTACAGGTATCTTTGTATTTTCAGTATTCTACAGGACATATCAAGGAGAGTTTGCGACAAAATTGCATGAAATCGTTCCGCCATCCCCTTTCTATTATCGGAGGACTAAATGTAAGCTAGGGTTTGCTACCCTTACCCCTGTTGAATATACCCAAAATTCCACGTCCCAATTCTATATGGCGTACGGTATAGGAGTGGAATTTCCTGCCTGCAGATTTATTCCCTGAACGCTATAAATTAACCTTTTCAAGGTTATAACGAATAGATATTGTATATGTGTGCATGCTCCATCTTCGACCTCATCATCACTTTCCAGGAATACGGAGGAGGAATATGGAGTTGAATCAAGAGCGCACTTAATTTAAACATAAAAATAAAAAAAAGTGTTAAGACAACAACTCAGGTGCAAGCTTTGAATGTGACAAAATTATTCGTACAAAATAATACCATATTATAGGAAACGAATTCGTGCTATTGAATATCACTTGTAGCGCAATTAAACATTGTTGGGTTGGATGAATTTCCAAAATAAGAGGCTTACCACCCGTAATTCAACCTACTTACAAAATTTATAACGCCGGGTCTTTTGCACCAGATACCGATTCAGGACACAAAGACAAATTTATTTATTTATTAAAAGACATCAAAAAACACAACTTGTATAATAAAGCAACATTATTCACTAAATCTTTTCTCCAGAAAACTTGTCATTTTGCAGATGTGAAGAGTGCTATATTTCTAACTCAAAAACTATATTACATTACCAGTATATGATGCCAATTACAGCATATCATAGAAACTTATGAAATAACACAACGTGACCTGCGTGTCTCTGTCAGTGCCACTACCGTGAGTTTACTGTGACAGTTGTCGCTAACGACCGCGTAAATTACTTCACAATTTTATATGGTATATCATACAGCGCCTCTAACGGTTATGAGAAGAAGTAACATTTTGTATACAAATATTTTACACTGTCGATATCGAGAACTGTCATAATAAACTAATGGCACTGATAGAAACAAATGTAAATCATTGTATATTTAAATATAATTTTTTAGGAAGTAACTATAAATAGTAATAATAATAAAAATTGTAAATAACAAGGTAAACTTTTTAAAAGAAAAATGTGTTTTAAATGAATGCGACAAAATTCGTTCTAAAAAAATAATAATGAAATTCTTATTTTAATCAACTACAATAAGTTTTGTAAGCAGCTGTCAAAATATACTATTTGTTTATAATACACCCTTACCACACAAATTTTTACACATTATATTACATAATTACAATTGTTACACATTTATAATTAATCATATTATGTAATTGGTTATTTTCAGGTTAGTTTTCTCTAGCTAGTTTCGGTGGCAATTTTTATTATTTAAATATTCTAGAATATTATCATAAAGTATTATTTAATATTCGAGTGTGGTATCCTGAATATTTCACGATAATATACTCAAATACTTGAATAATAAAAATTACCACCGAAATTAGGTAAAGAAATCTAACCTGAAAATTACCCTAATATGAATATTTGATAAAAATCTGATCCACTTTTTTTATGTAAAGTAGTAGGCAAATGAGCAGAAGAGCTGTTTATCTGTTTACCAATAATTCCATGAAATTTAATTAAACCTTTTAA